TGCCTCCCTCATATTCTGTCTTGCATGCAAAATACAGATTAATTTTCTTGCTCTAATGATTGAACACTTGAATTTTTATGCTCAAAAGACCACAATTCCATATGGCTCTTTCCTTACTGTGTTGTTCAAATCTTTTGGTATTGATGTTGAATGTGAATCCCCTACATATCTCAAACCCGATAATATCCTCTCTGAACAATCATTACTTAGACTGAGTCTTAGGCTTAAAAATGGCAAAGTATGTTTTGTGCCTCGGAAAGGAGGGGAGAAAAAGAAAGGGAAAGGGAAAGAAGCTGAGGAAGAATGTGATGCAAGTGATGAGGAGGGCAGTGACCAGGGTAGTGAGGATGCTAGTGAGGGTGCTACCACCTCCAGTGATTCTGAGGGAGATAGGGAAGAAGAAAAAAGTTCTGACGGAGAGAAAAACAAAGAAAAAATACTTGAGGGGGATGTGCAAGGAGAAAAACAGGAAGATTCTGAGGGGGAACATAAGGAAGTTTCTGAGGGGGAAGCTCAAAAATCTGACTCACATGAGGGGCAGGGAACTGATCAAATTGAGGGGGAACATACCACAGAGTCTGAGAGCACAGCTGGACCACCTGTCATTCCTGTGTTTACAGGGGGCCTTAGAAGAAGTAAGAGGAATGTGATCAAGCCTGCCCTTTATACTACACACCCTGTGACTGTAGAAACCATCAGCTCCTCAAAATCTGATCCCACCTTCAAACCTACCCAAGTTCCCTTTGCCACTGAACCCTCTTCTATTCCTGTCTCACCTACTTGGCAGCCTCCTCATTCACCTTCTCCTCCTCCATTTCAGCCTACTGGCTTTGCTGCTTTCTCTGGAACTCGTGTGTCTGTTTATGATTTTCAACAGGTTAAAGCAGATATGGAGAAGTTGACTACTCTGGTGAGCAAGAAACTGGAGGAAATGGCCTCAGAACTGCTCTCTCTTAAAGACCAGGTGCAGGCTCTGGCAGAATCTCAAGCAACTGGATTTGCAGGCATGAAGGCAAAGCTTGCACAGGCTGAAGGCAAGTTTAGTGAAGGCAACAAGGAGATCTTGGAAACTATCAACAAAGTAGCCTTTGAGGAAGTCGAGGAAGACTCTATTGATCCCACAAATCCAGCCCTTGATCCTACCAATGCAGCCTTTTAAATCCTTGATTGCACTTATTCTAATTTCATATGTTGAACAATTTTATTTTGGTTTTGTTTAATCTCTCTGAACTTTGGTTTGTACGCCTTTATCCTTTGCTACATTCTCTATGTTCCTCTTCTATTTCCTAAATCGGAACTCGGCTCTTATTTTTCATATGATTGTGTGTGTTTGTTGATAATTCAATGCCTAACTTATATTTGCCTTGCATTATTTGAGCTCACTATTCCTACGTAGTCTAGTGGGAGTTTAGCAAACTATTTTTTTCAATCTTTTGATAATGCCAAAAGGGGGAAAAGACAAACTTCATGGCGGCTAAGGCGTGTACCAAGAAACTCACACATCGAAGGTATAATTTTTTTTAAGTTAATAAAGTCCTTGTTAATTTTTCTTTTGCTCAGTCTTTTTATTTTAAAGTACTTTTCTAAGTTCTTTAATTACTCTGTTTGTTTTTTTTTAAGTTTTCATGTTTTGTTTTAAGTTTATGTTGCATGCCTGGATGATTTTATTTACCTAAGTTTGTCAATATTTGTCATCATCAAAAAGGGGGAATTTGTTGACCCTTTTAGTTTTGATGGACAAATTGACAAACTTGACTAATGAGTGTTTTAAGTCTTTGGTGAATAAAGGGTTCAAGCAAAGTTCGTTCCGGAGTAGGAACCTGGATGTGGAGTAGCATTCTCTAAAAAGCCTCATGCAAATCTCACGTTCTAGTAATTAATTGTGAGCACTCAATAATACAAGTTGGAAAGGAACTCAATGATTTATGTTTAAGACTACTGGAATATAAAAATTAGTTTTAAAAAGATAATCTTTTTTTGAGAAAAAGATAATTTATAAATGTTTTATCTAGTTTACTATTTTCAAATAAAGATAATTAACCTAAATTAATTATCTTAGTTGTTTTTAAATAATTAAATAATTTATAAATTATCTTTTCAAAATAAAATCTTTTTAAATCCTTTAATAACGGAATATTTGATTAAGTCAAATATTGTTGCATGAATATCTCAACAAAGTTGTTTTTCCAGAAACTATATTTTAGCATGTTGATTGCTACGTGGATTAAAGGAGAGATTTAAGAAATCTCCACTACCTTGATCATAGTCACATTCTCCACTATTAGTTAGTGGGTGTTGACTGGCAAGTGGTTGAGGGGTGTGGAGGTTAAAGATTAAATCTCCCTATTTAAACCACGACTATATTCATTGCAAAATATAACTCTTGAGCATAAAAATTCCAGTAGCCATCTAATAATATAAAGAGAGTTATTATCCTTCTTATATTCTTGAGTGCAATAGGTATTTGTAATCACAGATTGTATTCAAGTACTTTGGGGTTGGGATTGTGAGTTTATAAAGTGAGGTTAAGGAAGCTTCGTTGCTGAAGTCTTCTGTGAGAGTTGGGAACAAGTTCCTAATTTGTGGAACTTGTTAACGGGTTAGAATCTTCACTTGTAAAGAGTTTGATTACATAGTGGAAATTTGGAAAAGCCTATATCTTCTCTCATCGTTATTTTATTTAGATAAATTCCGCAAAAGTTTTTAGAATTCACCTCAAATACAATTCACCCCCCCTCTTGTATTAGCCAGTTAGACTTTCAAATTACTAAATAGAATTGAACTAAATAGAGCTTATATGAATTGTATATGAGAGAAGGAAATTAGGAAGTGAGCTGAACTGATTGGAACTGAACTGAAATTAAGCTGAATTAAATAGACCCTAAGTATTACAAAGAATAATATACGGAAGTATTTTTTAGATTAAAAGACAATGATGTAAATTAATTTAGTTTTTACTACATGTAAATTTATTTATATATGGAGTAATTTATTAAGCAAATTATGAACAAGGGATCAGGCAGGGGAGGAAGGAAGTTCACACTTCACAAGGAGCATTTTTGTATCTCATCTTAAGCCAATTGACCATATTGGTATAAAAGTTAACACCCTTGTGACAGATTGGTATAAAAATTATTACCGGCGACATATTGGTATAAAAGTAAACAGTTGGCGACATATTGGTATATAAACTAACAAGTTGTGACATTTACCCCTATTTTCTCGTCGGAGTAAAGCGCGTGTAGTACACTAATTTTTTTTTTAAAACACATTTTTTTTATCATATATTTTTTTTTTTTTTATATATATATATATATATATATATATATATATATATATCTTTGTATTTTTTTTCTTGTTTTTTATTTATTTTAAAAATTATCAATAATTCTATGTTATGAATAGTTATTTCATCTTAAATTAAATTAAACCATGGAATTAACTCCAGTCTTCAAATACTATTAATTCATTTTCAATGGGAGGCATGGTGGAAGGGATTTGGGTTTTTTCTTCAGATGGATATATTAATGGTTTTCTTCTTTTTGGACTAATTTTTTCCCTCAGCATTTCCTCACCAAGCCAGTAGATGAAATCTGCTTCCAAAAAGCAATTATTTATGTAATAACAACGATTATATTTAATAATTATTTAATTAATTAATTAATCTCCACATACAGTAATATCTATTTGATTATCCTCACAAATTTCAATCAAGCGATAAAATTCCAAACAACTAAACAATAAAACCCAAACAACTAAGTAAATAAAAACAAGATCTCAATATTTTAGTTATTAATTTAAAAATTAATTACTTAGTAAACCCTAACTTTCATTGTTACATCATTAGTTTAATTACACTCACGATTTTGTAAATCAACAGTATAATAAGTAAGAAAATGGAGAAGAATATACTTACCTTTTATGATGCTTTAATGGTCAACACTCACAGTAAATTCAAGATTCTCTCCCCCTTGCTCAAGCTTTGCTGTTCGCTTTCCCCTTCTTATCCGCTTCTGTATTGGCTTTTCATTTATTTGGATGTATTTTATAGAATTAATTAAAATAGAGAATAGGAAATAAAAAGTTGTCAGTAAAAGTCTTTTACACTAAGAATAAGGCCCGTGTAAACTACGCTAAAACTCCGACGAGGAAATAGGGATAAATGTCGCAACTTGTTAATTTATATACCAATATGTCGTCAACTGTTTACTTTTATACCAATATGTCGTTGGCAATAATTTTTATACCAACCTGTCACAAGAGTGTTAACTTTTATACCAATATGGTCAATTGGCTTCTCATTTTACGCTCAAGAGTCAAGAGACAACACATTACTTTATTTGTGAATTTTTTGGTAAGAAGACATGAATGGACTTGAATATTTCATGTTTCTGAATTCAAAATCTTAAATTTAAACATATTGATAGTTGAATTGTTTTGATGAGAGTATACAACTTGGTTGGCCAGCTTGGCCTCAACACAAGTTCACTAACAAATTTGTGAATTGTTAAACAATAGATGACCAAACCTATATTACTCATAGTCTTGATTTAGTCTGAACAAAAAACAATTTCTTTTCAAAATAACCAAGATAGATTAGTACAGTACTTCGTACTCATATATAATAAGTGGTGTAAAGTGTTAGTTCGGTAAGACATTAACTTAACAAACATACAATAGTATACCACTTATAAAATACGGAGTATTATTTACCTATCAAACAATAATTCACCATGATAAAGAAATTAACGCGGTCACACTATATTAAATTTAAATATCAATTTATATAACGCGATCACAAATATTAAATTAAATTTAAATATCAATTCATATAACGTGGTCTTTAATTTGGCGAAAAGGATATGGTAATACTTGAAGGCACATCAGCACATGTATCATGTATGTGGAGGCCAAGCCATCCAACCGTCCAACGGCATATCTAACTAGGATCTAAACTATGATCCACGTCCATAGAAAATTCCCGCATATGCAACTACCCTAAAAAGGCTCTCCGTCTAACCTTAAAAATAGAAAGTTTTTTTTTTTGAAACAAAAAATATTTCATTAGAAAGTTCTCAAGTAGTAAATATAATCTTGAATTTTCCCCAAAAAAATCCCACCCACATAGTAGTAGTGATAGTACCATATTCCATCCAACAATGTCCTTTCCCTATCCCTTCTAATAATGCTATAAAGTTCTAGGCCCACCTAGGGCCCGTTCCTGGGCCCATTACCCTTTTTTTTTGGTTTAAATAGGGTAACCACCTCACATATCTTGTTCAACCCACAATCATCTATCTCCTTTACTTTCCAATACCAAGTATTTCTTTTCCTTTAAAAAATATTATAAAAAAAAAAAAATCATTTTTATTGTGATAATTAGTACAGGATTAATTAAGTCAATATGGATGAAAATATGGTATTCTCATCATCTTCATCGTCTTCTTTGATATCACCTTCTCCACAAACGCTTAAACAACAACTCGAGTTTTTATTACAAAACCAGCAACACTGCTGGAATTATGCCATCTTTTGGCAAACATGTACAAATAACAATAACAACGTTGTCAACCCTAGTTGCTCACTTTCCCTTATTTGGGGAGAGGGCCATTTTCAGGGCATCAATAGCCCAACAACAAGGCCCAAGAAGAAGCCCAACCTAATTCATAGTGATGACTTTGATGATGGTGGGTCTACCATGGATGACGTAGTCACTGATGCTGAGTGGTTTTACATGACGTCACCTTCCAAGTCATACCCTTTCAAGCAAAGAGCTAGTGGGTGTGGAAGTTCAGGTACTTTGGCTAAAGCTTTTACTACTGGTTCTTTGGTTTGGTTAAGTGGGCCCCATTCTCTTCGTTTATATAACTGTGAACGGGCAAAGGAAGCCCATTCGCACGGGCTGCACACGCTCGTGTGCATACCCGTGCCTAATGGGGTTCTTGAGCTCGGGTCCGTCGAGGTTATTGAAGAGAATTGGGCTTTGATTCAGCAAGTTCATTCTTTGTTTGGCCCGTTGAGTAATTTTGATATCGGCCCGACAAAGCCCGAGTTGAGCTTGGGTGGTGGTGACGATATTTCCTTTTATGACTCGGGCTTGGTTGGTGCATTTAACACCAACCAAGCCCAACCTGCCAGCTTTATGGGCCCGTCCGAGGAGTATGATGACTCGGACGAGCCTATAAGCCGGCAGCGGGTGGCGAGGAAGAGGGGAAGGCGGCCTGGCTCGGCTCGTGAAGGCCAGGTTGCGGTAGTGAATCATGTGAAGGCGGAGCGACAGAGGAGAGAGAAAATGAATAGTCGATTTTATGCGCTTCGGGCTGTGGTCCCTACGGTGAGTAGGATGGATAAGGCGTCCTTATTGGCCGATGCGGTGTCCTATATAAATGAGTTAAAAGAAAAAGTAAATGTCTTAGAATCACAACTTGAAATGATGAAAGTTGATTGCAATATGTTTAGTAGTATTACTAATGACAACGGATTATGTAGTCCAAGTGGGATTAGTTGCAATAATAACAAATTTAATAGTAAGATACCACTCGAAATGGATGTTAGGGTTTTGGGAAATGAGGCGATGATTAGGGTTCAATGTGAGAACGTTAATCATCCAGCAGCAAGATTAATGAATGCGTTTAAGCAGCTAAAATTGCAAGTTCATCATGCAAGCGTGTCCACAGTTGAAGAGATGATGCTTCAAGATGTTGTGATTGTTAAGGTTCCACAAGACTTGAAGAGTAACGCTATATTGAAAGCTGCTATTTTTAGTAGGATGCAGTAAGTAGATAATGTAGATAGCTCCATTTTCTTACTAAATTTAACTATGCTTCTTTTTCTCTTGTACTACTCCTTTAATACTGCGGACTTAAGGTGTTATGTTTATGATTTTATGAAAAATATTTTGATTACTTGTCTCATTATGTAATATTTTCTTCTTCTCTATAGCTATAATTTGTAGCTTACCTAATGTGATGTTTTATGTTCCTTATGTAATCCCCCCCCCCCACCCCCCAAAATTATGTATCAACTTTCTAAATCAATGTACAATTTGTAACTTTAGTTCGATATATATTGTTTTAGTACAAGATGTAAGGAATAAACGTTAACAGTTAGCTGATAAATGTTTATTGATAAACTACTTATAATGAAGTTTATTTTCACCAAATTAAAAAATAATAATCACAATTACTACCTGTTGGTATTTGGATCATCTAGACTTGTGTCTAAAATACACCAAAGCATCGTAATTCCTACGTTTAATAGATGAGGAAAGCGGTTTATAATAAAGTGTATATAAACCGGAGTAGATTTAAAGGCATTATTACTACAATTTGCATAGGCAATTGTTTTATAAATCATGCTTTTTTTGTTTTAGCTTACGTAATAGTAATGATCATACAAATGACCAACGAAAATTTGAGGTTATATTGCTACTAATTAGTCTTAATCGATTAGTGGGGTGGTGCAATTCTATGGTCATAGTCTGACGTGCCTTCAGTGTGTTAGACTGACGTGATGGTCATAGTAAATTAGTAACTAGGGAGAGAGGTATAAGTGTATAACATTCTTGTTTTGATAAGGAAATTACCAATACGAATTACTTTGTATATACTATGGTCATGTGTGGTTCATCTTATAATCATTTACTTGAACTTAATTAATAAAATTATTTAAATTATCATTTACCTGATGAACTTAATGAAATTGTTTTTATCATAATTCCGGGTATGTTCATTTCACCATTTTAACTTATCGATCAATACTAAGGTTATATTCTTGCCACCTCTTTCGTTCACTTATTCCATGATGAATAAGCTCTAATAAATTTAGAAATATAATTTCAAATCAAGGGTAATAAAATTTACTCAAACTACATTTTCAAAAAAGAAAAAAAAATGTTAATAATTCCAAGTTCATATTGATTAGGATAGTATGTTTGGTTCCTCTTAAAGAAATATAAGCTTCTAGGCTTAGGTCTAATTGTATCTATATGTTCAAGTGAAGAGAAGTGAATAATAGGTGAATAAAACAGAAAAATAAATTGTTGTAAATTTAATTTAGATAGCCGACCCGTAATGGACCAAAGTAATGATAATTTAATTGTAGTACAAAGTATAACTTTAATTAAATGAAATTCTCCTCAAAAAATATTATAAATGAAATAAGCTAAACACAATATGTTTGTATGGGTTCCTTTCCCTAAAGTATCATTACTTTGGTGAATTTGGACATTACTTTGCTATCTTTCTTTCAAAAAAATAAAAAATAAAAAATAAAAAATTCCAACTTTTAACTACAGTAATAAGATAATATTATAATTTAAAATTACATTTGCTCTTTGTTTTTTTCCTAAAACAGCAATAATGCATTATTAAACCCATCCGTTCTCTAGAATGTACCCATTTTTCCCAAAATAAAACATGATTTGAGACAATAACAAATTAGCAATAGCTTTATAAAATTATAATAGTAAAATACCCGTGTTGAGTGTATATTTGTTTGAAAATGCGTCTCACTTGATTATTCTCTACTCAGCAGCTAAGAAGAGCCTAAGAAGCCTTCTATTCCCTTATTTACTTTTTTTTTTTGAAATAAAATTAATTCATAAATAAAGTCATACAACATCTATAAAGATATTTAAATCTAATAAATACATAATAATTGAATCAAATAAAAATATTCCATAAGCAAAGCTACGATCGTTGTTGCAAATGTTTTCAATGGATCTACTTGTAGTTTTCTTAAACTATGTGTCCATTCCAACGTCCCAAGTATTATGGGACGAAAGGAGTATTAAAATAGGTTAAACCCTGAACAATATATGCACGTTTGTCAGATAATTATAATGAAAATAAAATTATAAAAATAATACAGTATATATATAAAAAAGGGACTCAACTCACCAATATAGTTATTATTATTATTGAAAATTATGAAGTCTTATTTAATACGTAGTATAAAAATCGATATACTCCCTCCGTGTTTTTTTTAAGTGTTACAATTTGACCGACACATAGTTCTAGGCAATTTAATTGACTTATTAGGGCCTGTTCTCATTAACTGAACTCAACTCAACTGATCTGAACCGAGCTGAACTAAACTGAAATGAATATTTTATAAGAGAAGGAAATTAGGAGCTGAACTGAACTGAATTTCAACGTACGAGAACAGACCCTTAAATAAAATAAGAGATAAGGGGGGCACCATAGTTGGAGTATTAAAAAATTGCAAAAGAAAGATTATGGAGTTAATAGTTTATTGAAAGTAATGAATGTGAGAGGAAATATATAATAAAAAGGTAGTGGTGGGTTTGGGTGGGGACTATGAGAGGAGAGAGATACAATATTTTAATGTAGCTTTTTGCCAAAAAAAAGGAAGTGTAACACTTGAAAAAACACGGAGGGAGTATATCTACACACACACACATAATCACGTACAGTCTTATTTTAATGTATTATTTGTTCCAAATTAGATGAGTTGACACGTTTTAACTTTTAGCACTATTCACGAAATCTTTTTTAACTAGCTTATATGATGATGATTTACTTATTGATAATTAGAGATATTTACCGTTAAATTTATGCATTGAAGAGAGTGAGGGATAACCCAAGTGGCTAGAACTTCCCTCCCGATTATATAAGGTCCTAGGATCGATTCTCACCCCCGCCCTTGTGGCTCTCTAAAAAAAATATGCATTAACAAACGTGAATACGTGATAAAAAAAAAAGTGTCATCTAATTAGGAAAGGAGGAAATACGTTTCAATGTGAAATTTTGATTTCTTAAACACTTAATAGTTTTTATAAGGAGACAATTATCAAAATACATAATGGTGTTCAAACTTTTATACAATACTACGGAGTAGCAAATGTGGAAAATTTATGAAACGCTAACATCCATATGAAACAAAAATAGTATATGAACACCAATAAAAATCAAAGCAATGCATTTGTTGGTATCAATTTGTTGTTAGGAACAAAAGAATATTATAAATTACAAGTACTCGTGATAAAAAAAATATACAAGTAAAATAATTGGATGAATAAACAAGAGGATTATTGAATTAGTTTGTAAATAAAAAGAGACAACATTTTTTTTTTTTTACAAGAAAAAGAGACAACATTAAAAGGCCCATTGGCTTAATAGTTAATACTACCGTAATAATGAAGTCGTACTAGTAACAAAATTAAAGATGATAGGAGACAACATTAAAGAAGTGAAGTGTGAATCCATTGGCTTCTTGTTGTTCACTTGTCTTATCCAACTTACAGCCAACAACGAACAGCCCAAGGCCCATTAATTACATTCGCATAAACACGATCCAAATTTCCGGTACCTTGTCGAAACTCCAAACTGTTTTTACTTTAATAGCTACTCCGCATATGCTCCATTTAGTAACCATTTTTGGATGAGTGATTCATGTTAAATGCTGGTTTTCTGCTTTATCTCATGACTTTTAGTTTTCATTTGCTACACATAAAAAGAAATAGAGATAGTATTGTTTCAAATGTAATGTTATACATAGCCCTTAGAGCTACATATAAGCATTAAATTTACTCTTGAAATTTGTATAAATTTAGGAATTCATGACTAAAACACAAGTAAATCAGTGTGTTTTTGTCATGATTTCTTTAATTTAAACAATTTTCTAGAGTATATATAATACTACCTCCGTTAATGGTTATCTGCAACTTTGGAATTTTTTATATCTCACAAATAATACCCCAAAGTTGCACATAACCATTAACAGAGGTAGTACTTATTTGTAGCCCTAAGGGGTATGTATAGCATTTTTCTTGTTGCAAATAAGTAATTAAAAAAGAAACCGAGATAGTATTTAATTGAATTTTGATACAAGCCAAAATGTCTATTACTCGTAGAAAGCTTGAAAAAAAAAACATATAAAGTACTCCTTGTATCTTTATTACAAATATTTGGTGAAGTTAGACCAGTTTGTCGTCTGCTGATGGTTTGGGCCGATTAAATCACAAAAGTTTTATGCAGGAGATGAGGATTGAGACTGTTTAATTTTTCGGAAAGAACCCACTTCGTTAATGGGCTCAAATATCCGAGACAGATTTACTTCAGCCCACTTTATAAATAAGAGCTTTGCCTGTACAACCCATTGCATATTAAGATTATTTCAGCTTCCGCTCTCATAATACTACGTATAAACCAATTGAATGGATATAATAATTAAATTGTAGGTTACTCATATATGATGTATAAACACTAAGTATTTAAGTTTATAATCACAAATCACAATGAAGCTCCCTTCGCTATTCTACCCATATTTCTAGATCAAGGTCTTTGCGAAAGTTTTGAGAATTGGAGACTTTTACTTGTTTCATACTCCGTAATTTAGAACAAAAAATTAACATTTCTTTGTTTATACCATTTCGAACCTTAAAATTCTACTTCAAAATTACAATAGATCCTCTCCTAAAATGCTGTTAAACATTAATATAAAATACAGTAGGCAGAGGGTCATAACTCTTCTACAACTACAAAGAGCCACTAAATTTGCATCCTATTCCAAACAGACTAAGCACTTAAGAAATTACGCTATTCAACAGCACGAAGCACCTTATAGCTTGTAGGATGTCAACAAATCATAAAAAGCTTGTCACTGAAAGTCAACGTAGATACGTAATGCAAATTAATGGGAGCTCAAAACATTTTTCCTTTCGTTGGCTAAACTATTACTGCTTTATTAGGACTTTAGGAGATAATAAGCATAATATACATTCATCTACTCATTACGTACAAGTACATAGGATTATTCTTTACAAAATTGCACATAAATTCAATTTGTAAAATTATGGCCATCATTCTATAAATTACTTGTACAATCATAATAGGCATAATGTGATAATGACATTAAACATAATTTGAGCTGTACAAGTTAAATCTAGAGTCACATACTCACATGATGCAACTAATATACATATACCGTGTTCAATCTTGTATAGATATATCGACTTCACTTTCCAGCCACAAAATTTTTAAGAAGATAACACAAAACCCTTGAAAAAATTTTAGTCATTTTGTTTCAATTCATTTCTTTATTTCCTACAACCGTATAATCTACACATTCGTGCAAATCAAATCAACCGTAAAAGTGTAAAACAAAACATTATATGTAGTATCCGATCACACACTATTTGCATAATGTCTTATCTATGTACTACCTCCGTTTCATATTATTTGCAACGCTTCTTTATATTAAATCGTTGTAAATAATATGAAACGGAAGTAGTATGTATAAAAACACCAAGTCGAACCGAGTTTACTCGATAACCCAGTGTTGACCATCAACATTAACCTTAAACCCATTAACCTTAGCAAACAAATCAACAGCTCTCCTAACACCTTTATCATCATACTTAGTAAAATAGTCATGCCCAAACATGACTCCACCCGGTCTAAGCAATTTATAAGCCCGGTTTATATCCGACCAAGCCGATTGAAAATCATGACCCGCATCCACCTCTATCAAATCCGCCATTACTCCCCATTCGCAAAGCTTCTGAAGCGTTGACCCCGTCGTAAAAGGAATCGGTAATATTGACTCGCTCGAGTTCAGGTAAATCACGTTTTGTAGAAACTGCGGGAGGAGTAAAACGTCGCCGTTTTGGACGGGGACGTAGTCAACTCGGTCGCGAAACCCGGGCCAACCGCGGAAATCGTCGAGGCAGAGGATTTGAGTTTGGAGTCCGAGTTGGCGAGTTAACTCAGCCATGTGGGTTGCTGACGCGCCTAAGAATGTTCCGACTTCAATGATTGTTTTTGGTTGGGTTTTCGTGATAAGGTTTTCGAAAACGGCGCCGTATGAGCCCCACCCTTTGACTCGCTTAGGACGGAGTAATTCTGCCACGTGGGGTGGTGGAAAGTTCTCGTAGGGTGAGGTTCCGTTGTAGACCCGGTTTATAATTATGGACCGGATTATCTCTGGTGGGACCGGGGTTGAACAAACCGGGCCGAACCGGTTATGGTCGTTATTCTTGTCGAGGATAGGAGATGACGTGGCAAGAGGACAGTTATTAGTTGTTGTAACGAGATTAACGACAGTTGGAGTAGTGGAAGCAGAATCATTAGGAGAAGGAGGAGAAGTGAGTTGTTTGTTGGAGGAGAGAGAAGATGAGGCCGTAAAGTAGCCAAGGGCGTATGTTAAGATGAGGAGGATAAAGTACGCCGTTGGTTTAGGATTACGTAGATAGTTTGAGGAATTCTTCCAGAAGCTTCTATGGTGTAACGGCAGCTGCTGCCGAGGGAGGTGTTGATGATGATCGTTTTTCATGATATGTAATTTTGTTGAGGTGAGAGAAAGGAAGGAGAAAGGGGTTATAGAAGAAGGAAGAAGGTTGAAATGGAAGGAAGTTGGGAAAGTGTATAAGTGTATAATAAATAGATATTGGTAGAGGCTAATTAATTCATTAATTAATTATTTTGGAATGTGAATACTCAACTTTTTCTTAAGTTATTTACGCATTAAGTAATACTTGTATTATGGATTTTATTTTTAGTGTGAAAATGGTGACAAAAAGTATGATTTAAATAAAAAATTATGGTTTAATAATACATATGATGGTACAAGTATTAAGTTAAATAATCAAACACATACTAGTATTGAATTTGGGAAAACACTTTTATATACATAGTAGAATTGAAGGTTGCTTTTCTATATAGATTACTTCATTGTTTTTACTTCCAAAATTATATCTAATCGTATTAAGTTTCTGTTTTAATTAACATTTATGACCTACATTATTCTTATTCCTTAATATAGAGTTTGAAAGCTACAAAGAACATTACTCGTTTGATTTATATGCGCATGTTAAAATTCTAAAAATAAAAGACGGTTTTGAAGTTTTACCTCAATATTATAAATTGTTACGGAGTACTTTGTATTACCTTTTCTTGTATCATTTCAATGTTATAGTCCATAGACAAATGTGATAACTAAATAGAGTTGAACGTTAATTATAAACCTCATTAGTACCTTTTCTCGTACCATTCGTCGCTTGCATGTCATTAGTAGCTGATTATTATTATTATTTTTTATTTTTTTTGGTTGCAGTCAACGTAGGTTGTATACTTGTACATAGTTTATTATACAAGGATTTGTTCATATTTTGCAACATTCTCATATACGGATAAACCTCATCTTCTTCATATTTCTTGCACGTCGTGTTAACCCATGCAAGCCACTAATTTATCAACAATAATTTGGACTATATTATAGTAACACCTAACACTAAACAATTCTATGATATGTAATCTGTCTTTCTTGAAGAATTATTATAAATTAATTTATGACCCTTTAAAACCATTATTGCTTAATTATGTTGTCCAATGAGATTGATATTACTTTTGCAAATTTGACTTTTTAAACAAAGCACATGGTATTACAAGTTAACAATATCCAACTTCCAATTCATGAGTATTATCGGACCAATTCAGCATTTATATTACATCTAAAAATTTTATACATACCATACTCCAAAATATAAGCTGTTTTATAATTACGTTCTTTAAAACAATGGCAACACAATAACAATGACAATGTAATTTTCAACTAATTATACTTGTTCGATAGCAAATCCATACTTTGTTTATCACAGCATTCCCTACTATGTACTCATAGTTAATTATTTCTATTTTATCTAATAGTCCGTACTTTATTCATGTTGTTCCTTACAAATGAAATAAAGCCCTCACAAAAACCAGAGCAACTTTGTATTACCACTACACGTCTCACTTTAAACTTTTGTTGCTTTTAAAATATGGCCAACTTCGACGTCCTTTTTCTTTAATTATACCCCCCTAACCTTTTTCTTCATTGCTTGTAAATGAATATTTCTTCTTAATTTCTCACCCACTAACATTAATTCCTACTAGTTTGCAGTACCTGGACCAACCTAATTCATCTATAGAATTTTAATAGTAAATTAAGCCTAATAATACTAGACTATCAAATTATAGGTCTCTCAGTTAGTTCATGATTGAGATAGCAAAGAGCCAACCAAACCGTCATCAGCACAAATGTTATAACATCCCTTCTTTATCCTCGAAACCTTCCCCCGTTGCAATTTAACCAGATACAGATGCATTATTCAAGCTATAACTACAAATAGTTATTGGACAATACTATGGCAGGAAGAGTTAAAATGGAAAGACAGTGAGAGAGATTTTACTTCAGAAGATTCGTCTGGCACAGCTGCAAATCCACATCCGCCGCATAACCCTAATGAGTACATGAATAGCCAAGAGGAAAGATCAAACATCAATCTTTTCCATAGATAAAGATGGTCTAGAATCATAATTGGATGCTGGACTTGATTTTTGCCAACATGTTAGGACATAGCAACATAACAGGAACCCTACAACTTCCACTAACTTAAGCTAAATTAAGAAACAAACACGAAAATTACACTTCCTATTTTAAGCTTACCAAAGATGAGGCCAGACCACCACCACTACCTTCTTCCTGTATTAGAAAAACACATATTCCTACTTATCAACATTCATATGCCTATAAATGAAAAGGCATGTCACTTTCCTTCTTCTGACCCTTTTAGGTAAGACGGTTCTCCTTCAATACTGCGCCCTGCACCTGCAGTGGAATTTCCTGTTCCGTCACCTGTAGACCCTGCCTCAGGGCCATCTTGCTTGTTTCCCCCACGTGTCTCACTAGGACTGGCCGATGCAAGTGGCCCACCACCACCACCACCTCCATGCATTGCTTCAGTTTGCATGGGATGCACCCCGTCACTAGGTCCAGCAGGTCTAAAGTTCATTTGCCCAGCCATGGCCTGCTGCTGCTGCTGCTGATGTACCTGAGATTGTTGCTGATGTTGTTGCTCCTGCATCTGAAGTGGATTAGTGAACTGAGCAGGCATCCTAGGAGTGAAACCTTGCTGTTGAGCCATTGCAGCAGCTTGCTGTTGCATGTAATATGCTCCTTGTTGCATGGCAGGATGCGGGGCCACCTGCAGGTGATGCTCAATACATAAGCACAGAGAATACATCAAAATTAGAGAGTCAGTTAAGTGATGTTGTAAGCAAGCATACTTGGGCAGGTACTGTTGCCATCTGAGGTTGAGCATCAGCAATTGCAGCCAGATACATCAAGTTTTTCTGAAGCTGTGCTTGATATCTGCAGAATCAAGATATACGTAGAATTAGTTAGATCAATGGAAGCAACATTGCCCAAAAACAGAAGATACAAGATTGCAGCCATTATGACTATCATCAATTCATCACTTCTAGAAGTACAATCCATAGAAGTTGAGTTAATAATTGCCACAGAAATATTATAGGTCACTGAAGGCCTCAACTCTTCAAGTCTAGTGCTTACCACAGTTATCAGTCCTCAAATTCAAGGTCAATATCAATGCCGTGACATACTATTACAAAGCAAGCATATGAAACATGTCCTTATCCAACCATCTAAATGCAAAGTGGTCGATACTGATAACATCTACACAACTTTTAATATACCACACATTACATAAATTTCAGCGTCTCTGAGCTCTAATAACCCAAACCTATATCTATACAGATTGCACTCATTTTTACACACCAAAACACCATCTTCCAGACTTAGTAACCATATGATAGAACCATGAACTTATTTAAGTTTCCTTTCACTAAAACGTTATAACAATCCTGGTACTTTCACTTGCCATGAACTATTTCCCCTGGCATCGCGGTATGATTCAGAAATAAAGGGTAGAAGGGTGGGAGAAAGGGGATCATAATCAACAGCATGTATGAAGGGATTCTTTGATGAGAGAAAAACTGAAGATAGGGCAATCCTAGAGAAGCAACCACATGGATGCATGTTGCAAGTTTACCGGATTATAAACTTCTGATGAGGCATAACTGGTCACACAGATGCAAATCTAAATCATAAAAAGAAACCATCCCATGGACCCTTGAAAAAAAAAACCAGAATAACCAATAATGAGCCATGACCAAGAAATAGATAAGGAACCAGTCTCAGTAGATAAGCAAGAAAGCTGAACAGAAATTAAGCAGTAACTTACTGAGCACACTCAGCAAGCTTCCCAAGGTTTTGGTTATCCAATATAGCCAGGATTAGCTTTTTATTCTCGTCAAGATACTGCAATCAAATATGAACATAAGGCCAGGAAAGGAAGTGGTTATAAAAATACTGCAATTGAATATGATTACTGTAAGTGAATCAAAACTTCCAAAACAGTCACCAGTTAGAGTCAGTCTCTATGTTGCTATGTAAAGGAAGCAACTAGATCATATAATTTATAGCTATGACGAGGTTACATAACTGTCAATCTGTCATGGTAAAACATCTAAATGGAGTTTAATATAATTGAACAAATCTATTCACAGATCAAATCAAAATAATGCAGGAGTCACTGGAAGAAAATACAGCGTGAACCTAGCTAAGACAAAGACAAGATTTGAAGATCTGAGGGACAAAAGCACACAACTGCTCTTTACAGTCAGGCTGGACTACCTCACTTTTGGAAGAAATAATATAAGGAGGAGGTTAACTGGAAGGAAAAATGAAGCTTAATGTACAGAAATCATGATTATAACATACACAATAGTATCACAAAAACTTTTACATATAAGGTATACGCATTTGAAATCAAATCTGTAAAATGAATCATGAGCATGACTAAATTTCTTTGTTATATTGATTGAGCAAATCTTGTACAAACATATGCGTAGAACTATATTTGACAAGAGTAAGAAGGGTCTATAGAACTACACATAGAGTGCCAAATAAATGAAGAAACGCACTTCAATTTAGATGAATAATATTCTGGTCGAAATCACACAGCACCAAATAATAGATTTGCCTGGAGAAATGGCCTATCCATATCCATAAAGTGACAAAAGTACCCAATTTGAATAAGGTCACATAACGTGCCTGATGAGCAAAATATTAAGCAAAAAATAGAAGAAGCATGTACAAATAAGGCCTAAATGTCAAGTCCAATACAACACATCAACTTAAACTAAAATTTACTTCAGTAACCATAAAATTGGTCAACAGGTCTAGAGGTTAGCAGAAATAAATCATGGATCTGGGAAAGAATATATGCCATACTATGCAGAAACTAATACATGTTATCCTTAAGTATCAACCTCTCCATTTCTCCAATATGTAAAGCCTCATACTTCCGGCATCTTGACCGTGCCATCTCTTCATTTCTAAAATCTCATATAACAATGTGTCCAATCAACCATCTCTCATCCTTCAGCCAGGACCTCCCTTGCCTAACTAGTCAGAATCACAACTAAAAATATTAATGAAACTATAAACACCTAAAGATCCTCAGCTCATCCTTATTTCTACCCCAATCCAAGGACTTTCAGGCCGTAATAAGACTAAAACAATCCCAAAACACCCTTCTTTTCTAGTGGATAGTGTCAGTCAGCTTTGCTATAAGCATGCAAGTGATAAGTTTTGGTGGATTGAAGTAATTTATACCACCGGCATCCCCTCCAACAACCACGGCCCATTCAAAATACGCAAAGTCTTGAAGCAACACGCATATAGCAGATACTTTGTATCTAGATTGTATGACAATTGGGCAACCCAGTGAAGTGCCCTCCTTCTCACTGGCATCATCCACCTAAACTAGTCATGTTGTTATAAAATCTAGACACTAAAATACATACTCCATAATACTAGTTTGTTCACAGATAAACAATTAGAAATCCCAAAAGAAACAGGCAACACCAATTACTGCAACATCTAAACACCCAATCACAGTAACCTAATTTGACAGTACCACCATGATTAGCAATTTAGCATAAACTCTTAAATTAGTTCATTTTCGCACAAAATTGAACTAATTCTGCCATAATATTACTCAATTTTTTTATATAAATAAGAAATCCAGCAAATTAATCAAGCAGCAATAATCTAATTACCAAATCAAAGAAATTATTAACAGATCATAATCAAATTCTAGATGATAAAAAGATTAAAAGGAGAGAGAGAAACCTTTTGAATCTGCTCAGTGGTGATGTTAGCCGGAGGAAACGAAGGCATAACAGGCATCATTGAAGGCGTAGGCTTCTGCATTTTACTATCGATGAATTTCTTTCTCCCCTGATTAATTTCTGCAAACTTAATTGAACAAAAGAAAAACCCTAATTCTTAATTTACCCAAAATTAGAATGAAAGAAAAAGGGGAATTGATGAACAATTAGCGAAGTTACCTGTAGATGAGATAGAAAAAAAATGCGAAATAAAATTTGAATTTGGAGGGGAAGACAAGGTATCGTCGATGATTCTCGAATATTGAACCAACCCCTCAAATAATATAAATATAAAAATTAAAAGTTTGGGTTTTAAGTATCAGGTGTCTGAGAAGTACGAGTGCCACTTAAAACAGTAACCGTATTTTAATACAGTACTAGTACGAGTAGTAAGTAATACTGTCTATTTTGCCGGGAGGGTCTCCTGGCACGTGTTGTCTGAACTAGTATCACTTTCTTGTCTCTCTTGATTAATTCTACTATGGTTTGTAATTTGTAACGGTACAACACATTCATTAAACTCATTATGATAATGTAAACATTTTTTACTAGGAAGTATAGAAATCATGAAACTTGTCGATAATTAGCAAGTTGTTTGGTTATATAATGTATTTATGTTATAGCGATTTTTTGATATAAAAGAAATAACTATTACATTGATTATTAATATTTAGATAAGATCTCCCACGGATTGCATTATTGAATCTCCTCTTCTATTAATTGGGATGGAAAGAAGTTATTATGGAGGATAGCAATGATAAAGGTGTGCCAAATCTATTAGAAACCATACACGTAAACTGAGCTTGATTAAATAGTTGAATGTCGTGATGTACTTACAGTATTTCCCCTTTTTAACTCAAATCAACACTTTTATGTGGGAGTGAATCAAGCGCGAAACATTAAACTTTTCGTTACATGTACCTATTGTACTCCTTTATAATATGGAAAAAGAGTTTTCCAGCTTCCCTAAATAAGTATTTAAAATAGGAGTAAAACCATCACGTCACTATAATACTACAAATACGTTACTTTAAAACTAACTTTAGTATTGAACTCTTTCATCTGTGGATCGATTTTGCCAACTTTATGAAATTTATTATATGTAATTCATTTTAAACACTAGCAATATAGACTATTGACATATAATTAAAAAAAAAGGAGATTAGATTAGATAAACAAACAAATTAATCAAAATTCTAAAGATCCCCAACTCTTCATCATAAATTCATATCAATGTTTGAATTTACTCCATAACTTAATTTTCTAAATATAAATTGAGCTAACCTAGATTGATACTCATAATTTAAGATTGAGCCTAAAAATTAAAACACAGGGCCTGAAATCAAAGACAAATTGAGTTGCGTGATGTGACAGGCATAGAATCCTTTGGTGACAGGGCTCTACATTTCCCAAATTTGGTTTTCAACTACTCCCTATAAACTGTTCATGGCTTACTTTCTTCTTAATCCGCCATTGATTCATTGATTACTTCCATAAATATTCCCAAAATAACCCTAATTTTCTTCTTCCCCACAATAACCAACCTTCAAATCAAAATTCCCAAGATTCAATTTTTTTAGAAAACCAACCAAGATTATTCCTTGGTTTTCGCAAATCAAGAAAACAACTTTCCAACTGAAAATAAACGACCCAAATTAGAAACACAAATAAATAAATCCTGGCTTCAGATTTCTGCAAATCGCTGTTTCAACCCAGAAGAACTAAATCCCAGCCTCTTCTCTCAGTCCCCCAAAATCGGATGCTCCGACGAACAATGGATATTAACCCGTTTAAGTATTGTTCGGGGCTCCGTTACTTGGGCTACTTGATGATCTTTATGGTTTTGGGTATCATTGCCCTCTCTTATTGGGCCGTTATCGTTCTTGTTTGGGGGCCCAAATTGATCCACGGTGGTGCTCCGGCTGTTTTGGCTGCATTCATTGTTCTTCTTTTCCATGTTCTCGTGAGTTTGCTGATTCTTTACTGTTTCATCATCTGTTCATTTGAATTAGCGTTGTTTTCTGATTCCTGTTTGATTGACGATTAGTTATTCTCATTGTTAAATTTACTACTTGATTTGGTTATGATTTTGGTACTCCGTATTTTAGTTGTTTGGTTATGATTTTTTGGAGATGATTATATTTATTGTTATTGCCAATTCCCATGTTAGGGATTTATAATTGGTTGGAAAGGTGACAACTTTTACGAGTTTTGGTATAATTGGTAAAGCTTTATATTTGAGAGGAGGGAATAGTTCAATTGATAGGATTACAAGGTTGGCAGGGTTAAGATGTAAATCTAGACCCAATCCCACTCCTACTAATCGAGTCTAGATTTACAAGGTTGATGAGTGATCAAAGTTCAATTTTGGCAGGAAGTTGGTGGAATAGAAAGAGGGGCTGGGGCGAAGGTAGTGTGACTGTGTGAGTGTTTAGATTTTAGAGGTTTATTGGTAAGAGATGATGAACATAAGTTGAATAGTTATCAGTTTGCAGCTAATTTGGTTGGATGGAAAGATGTCAACTTTATAGTATTATCTCTTTGTCAAAGTGATTGGCTTGATTTGCCAATTGGCTATTTTTTTCGGAATTGTCCTCCTTGGAGTCTTAGGTGTTGAGATTTGTGCTCTTAGATCACGTTACTCTAAACCATACAGAACACTCAATTTAGTACTTGTCAGTTCACGCCCTTGGTTCTTTGTAACGTAGTTCGCAAAGGAGTGAGCATGATCTATAAATTTCGAGAAATGGAGGACATTGATTTGGGCTGAAACCATCTAGTAGTTGTCTTTGAAAGTTCAAGAGGTTTTATGTACTCTCCATTTATGAAGTGGGCATGCTATGGTTCTAGTCTTCTAGATGTCAGCATGCAACCAAAGAGGTGGAGTTGTTACATGAATAAATTGAATGGTTTACATGAATAAATTAAAGAAAAATAAGACTATTTCCGGCCTAAACGGTCAAAAATTTAGAAAACACTAGAAGAGAGGAAGAGAGCACTTGGCTTCTTACAGTTACATCATAGACTTCTTTTAATGTTATCAGAGTTTTTGGAATCCTCGTCTGTATTAATTCTTCTCTGCATTAGTTTCTGTGTGTCACACTGACTGAGTTTAAGAAAATTCTAACATGAATTTTGAAGAGAATCATATAGGGCTATGAACTCAATGTAGTATTGTGTCTGACAACGCGCATCCTTACTAATCCTATTTGATTTCATAAGATTGCTAAACATTTGTGCTCTAGATGTATAGAAATACCTAATAGCAATGGCATCGGACTAATGGATTGCGTTTAGTGAATGTACCAATAAGCAAAGTTGTGAGCTTGATAAATTCCTTTTTTGCTATAAATATCATTTTGTATGTTTGTTCATGTAGCTTATATGTATTGTTTGTAATTGGTTATTCTGATTGTTTGTAGACTACTCCTTTTGTAGCTTATACTGTTAACCTGGAGCTACTTTATGGTAGTCTTCCGAGATCCTGGTTCTATACCTCAAAACTGGGCTCCAGTATTGGATGTTAATCTGGAGGAAGGTACTTCATCTTCATCTTTAGCAACTCCATGGCCTGCATCAAATGGATCAGAGCGAAGATCAACTGTGGGGTATTGTAGTCGATGTCAGAATCCCAGGCCACCACGTTGCCACCATTGTTCTGTCTGTAAGCTACTCCAATATTTTGGCTTTAGTTTCACGGTTGTTTCCTGTCTTTTCTTTTTCTTTTTTTTTTTTTTTTTTTTTTTTGTGGCATCTTATTAAAAAGTGAAGCAAACACTTGCATTTGCGCATTCTTCCCATTCTAGTGCTGTGGGCAATACATACTTGTACTTGCTTGTATTCTGTTCCATACTTCTATTAAAGTAATTGATACTGGCTTTTAATGCTCCACCTATAACACATCTTTATCCTTTGTTCTTTAATTTATATCAGGCTGAATAGTTCTTTACTTAATTTCCTATTGTTTTTGTTGTTGTGTTGGGGGGGGGGGTATTTTGTTGTTGAGGGACTTTAACTGATTAAAACTGCTTGTTTGTAGGCCAAAAGTGTGTTCTCAAAATGGATCACCATTGTGTATGGGTAGTTAATTGTGTTGGGGCACGCAACTACAAGTTCTTCCTCTTATTTCTTGTAAGTCTCTAATCTCTGTCATTTTAATATATTTTCTTTTGTTTCTAATTTTTCATGGCAGGAAGGTTTTTTTTTTTTTCCCCTGAATTGAGTGTTGGAATTGACTGATAAAGTGATGATTGTCTGAGTTAAAATGGCTGTTATCTTGAAGAACCCTTTTGAATTGTGATTTCATTTTAGTGTAACGATCTCTTTTGATAGTGAATAATAATACTGCTTGCGAGTATGTTTTGAATAATGTTGGCAATTAATTTATGGGATTGACTTCCTTGTGTCCTCTCTAATCCCCCTGGTTTTCTGTTTAGATATATACATTTCTGGAGACAACATTGGACACATTTGCATTGCTTCCTAAAGTTATTGCTTTATTTGGAGAAGCAAGGAAACATTCTGCCTCTCCCGGTAATCTGGCAGTCATGGTTTTGGCATTTGGTAAGGGTTTTGCTCTCACTGATCATGTCATTATTTACATATTTCAGCATTCTCATCTTTTCGATTTCTCTTACAGATGTTGTAACTTAATGCAGTTCTAAATTTGGCCTTTGCCCTTAGTCTCCTCTGTTTTGTGATCATGCATGCAACACTTCTTTGGAGCAACACAACAACTATCGAGGTATGGAGAGCCCTAGTAACTTAATACTGCCCTAAATTTTAACTATTGAGCTTTGTTGTTGCTGTTTTTGACTTTTGCCTTTGATCTTATAAGTTTTGTGGTGTATTATAACTTATAATTTATAACTTCCTAATGTGCTATTGCCACTCCACCCGATAGATTGGTACTATACTGTAACTTATTTGAGCTTGTATTTTATATTCCAGGTTTATGAGAAGAAGAGGGATAAAAAGGAAACGGCATCCAGATGGAAGTATGACTTGGGTTGGAGAAAGAATGTTGAGGAGGTTATTGGACTTTGCTTCTCGTTCCTTTTTTCTTAAAGTTGCATTGCAGAAGAATGAATTTAATTTTGTTGTTTTTGTTTACACGGTATACTTATTAAAACAATATTACTAACTCTAACTGATCAACTAAATAAACAAATTTTAACTATAGCATGTTTCTAGTTCTTCAAGAAGCCTGTTTTACTTTTATTTCATCAAACTGGATTATATCTAGAGTATTTTTCTATGTTCCTTCTGTTTCAAGTTCCTGACCTCCATGTTTAGTGAATGCTGAAGCAAAATTTTAATGTATTTCATTTCTGTGACAATTTTGCAGGTCTTTGGCACGAAAAAAGCGCTATGGTTTCTTCCAATGTTTACAAAGGATGATTTAGACAATGTACCCTCGCTACAAGGCACACATTTTCCTGTGCGTGATGATTCTGAGTCGTAAAAAGCTGGTGAGTAAACATTAGTTGACCCTAGTGTTGTTGAGGGTGCCATCACACCAGCTAGATGACGCCATTGTAATATTTGAATTTGAGTGCGGCACCATTATTGCAACGGCTGGAGTGGCAAACCTGTTCCATAATACTTGTTTATGTGATAGTTCCTCTTACATCATCATTCTCAAAAATACGAGTAGGTGATAACTGTTAGTCTGTTACATTCATTCTTGAGTGTAGAAAATTTATCTTCCCTCCTTAAAATTTATATTGTAGTGTCACTAGTGTGGACGTGTGATACTACTAGCGTCTTCTGCATATACTGCTCATTATCCCTTGCAGTTCTTTCTGCAGGCTTCAGATTTGTATGAATTTGTCATGCAGATGTTTTATTTCCTTTGCAGCAAGTCTCATGTGATATCATTCCTCACAAACTGTGAACCCTGCGCCACACATAAGACTTTGCCGTTAAACCAAGTGGCTGGCATGTTGGGATTTAGTTTCAAACAGTTATTGAATCCATTATCATGTTTTCGTGCAATGGATTTAAGGGCAAAGCTTTAACTCTCCTTGAATTCTTGCAATATATACAGGGAAGGAGGTAAGTTGACTCGCAGCAGCGCGAGTCAGTTTACCTTTTTTTCCCGTCAGGCTGTTTAAGAATTCAAGGTGTTTAAAAATCTTGTACTGAATACGAAGTAATATACTTCATGTTGATGGGAATAGATTGAAAAGGCAAGCGTACTGGACTACTGGTCTGTTGACTAATATTAGATGTTTGGTCTACACTAAAAAACAAGGTGTTTGATATCCAACACAATTTAGAGTTTGATAGTTCCAAAACAATAATTTTGTATGACACACCTTTGGTATTGACTAAGAGTTTTCTCAGTCATCACTTACAATGGGAACAATCTGACTATAAGATATTAATATCTATCTTAGCTTATTTCCAAGGTATGAGTACTATAAACCTTGAACATCTATAATAAGCATGGAATTAGATGTGGTAATTGTGGGTTGAGACTTCCGAAGGCATGACTAAGTTCATCTCGCGTTGGCCACTCCAAGAACTAGGTCCATGATACGCTAGGGCAAACATGTCTTGTTAGCCCGTTAGAATTTGCATCGTAATGGACTAATGGTTGGGTTTACAATTTAGGTTATACTTCGTATAAGTTACAGTGTACTCTGTATTAGATTTAGGTAAGATATGGCTAATTGGTTAAGTTACGAATTTGCTGATTATTCTTGCAGAAGGTTCCAATTCATGCAAAATTGTCTTTTCCTAAAATTATGTGGTCCTTTAATTACTTCCCCTTGAGTATGTATTGAAGGACGGACTTATACTTGTGAAGTTAGAGTCAATATTCAATGCTATTCGTTTTCTCCCCTTTGCTCTATACGCTGCATCTACAATTCTATATGCAAGCATTATACCTTTGACTTTTGTTATGGTCTACAATACAACTATTTGTCTAGCTTAAAACCTTGAATCAATTTTGGACCTTTAATATGAAGCTGTTAAATTTCATGTAAATGGACCATTATACTTTCCTTCGACTATTACTTGGGGCTTTCTCAATTTTGGCCAAGCATGAATTTTGTTGTATACTTGGATGTTTTTCCATTTTAATTGGTAATTATTATGCATTGATAATTTGATATCATGCAAGTCAATATGCATGGTCACCTTTAAAACAATCTTAGAAACATGAAAATTATTCTAATTATGCTAGTCGTTCAATTTTCTCATTTTCTGACTATCTCATTTTTGACACAAATTTTTGTATTTTGTACTCCATATTGTGTAGCATTCTGACTGTATCATATGTCATAGAAAAAATTAGATCATTAGACAATTGATTCGAACAATGGAAAAGCTACTAACGTACCCTAAAAAATAGTACTCGTACTTAAATTAGGATTCTTACGATACCTCTTGTGGGAAGCTCAAGTTACACCGAATAGAAGTGATTGAAAAATAGATTCCGAAACGTTAGTGAAAATGAAATGAAGACATGGGGTATGTGTGGGCACATTAATGACTTTTTAGCCGTTCTCTCAAAAAAAAAAAAAAAAAAAAAAAAAAAAGACTTTTTAGCCGGTTATTGTTTCCTTCAAACAACATGCTGTGATTATGCTGTTTTTAAGGGTCTCTTCGGTAGGATTAAAGTTTTCTTAACATAGGTTTTACTATAATACTTTTATGAAAAAATAATTCTGTGTGACACAATTGGTAATTAAATAAATAGTAAGGGTCTATTTTTTTAGATACTACTGTATCTTTTTTATCGAGGGAGTCACTATATGTGATGATTTATATGGCGTGCTAGTGGTAGCGCTCACCTTGAATTAAGGGCTATTTGATTCGGAAGCAAAAGCAGAGTATTATTAATTCACTGGTACAGCCTTCTACTGGGGAAGGTTGTAAGCCTGTGACAACAACTTCCTCTTTTTCTAACCAATATTATTTCTATATACTAGAATTATAGAAATAATATTGATTAGAAATAAAAGTTTAGTACTCGTAATTGGTGGGATGTAACGTGTTGGTGCTAGCTCAAACGTTTTGCTAATTAACCTCTGCAGTCTGCACGCACGTCGAAGGCAAAACTAATCCAAGGATTAGCATAATAGCTTGGATGTACATGATGACAATGATCAGTAATTAGCATTAGATTGAATGATTGACCTGCCTGTTTAAGTAACGCAAGGTTTGTGTGATAACAAATGTCTTAAATTATATCTTACGACGAGTACTAAGATATAATTTGACACTGCCTGGACTTTCAAATTTTAAGTATCCCTTAAAATTTGCACCCTTCCTCTGTTTCATGTCACATGTCAGTCATCCTAACAACCAAATCCGAACAAAGGAAAGTGTATGAATTGTGATAATTGAGTTACGAAACTAATCTAGGACACAGCCTAAAACATTTATATTAACAGTAACTAGTCACTGATAGATTCTAAACACAGAATCTATATTCCTAAAATAAGAATTAACGAAAAAAAAAAATCCAGTATTCAAGATACATTCATATTCACCTTTTAATATTGAAATTTGAGTCCTTTGATCAAGCAATCATCTCCTTTCCATGTCTTGAACCGGTTGACTGAGCGAGCCGACAGCGAATTGATGACTAAGCTCCAAATCAGCGAGTTGTTCTTCCTTAGGGCAGCAAAAATCAGCAGCAATAGAGATGAACCAAACAAGCGGAGGAGTAGTGAACAACACCAACCCAAAAGGAACCATCCACAATTCTCTGTTTTTTGGGTGGTACTTTATAACCCAATATACCAAAACTACCCCTCCAATCATGCTTACCAAAGTTGCTAACAATAATAAAGCTAGGATTTTTTGTATCTTCCTCTTCCTTGGAACCTCTTCTACACCATTCCTCTCAACTCCCATCAAATACATTCGATTTATACAACGTGAAATAAAAACTCGCGATTTCAGATAGGTCAGATGTACACAATCTTACCTTAAGGACCGATCATTCCTCCAAATGATCAACGACTTTAAGCATACCGGGAATGTTGTTTGGGTTTGTTTGAGGTAGGATAAATATGTGACTTGTGAGGCGCATAAGAGGAGAGTGTTACTCAATTAAGTTTTTAACAGACAGGTCATTTTTGTATGAGCATATATTATACGTTTATAATAGTATAAAAAATAAGTAAACTCACACTTCCAATGAGTTACGTTTCAAAAGTGGGGTTTTTTTTTTTCCAAGTCTAACAATAGGCTGCTTGTCACTGACGACTTGGAAATAATGGTCGTATCTGAGGAAAGATGTTTTCGATCAGATTTTACTCAATACTATATTACTGCATTGTGTAATTAATTAGGTGGTGATTAATTCATTGTTAATTGATTTTTTGTAGTCATGTGGCATGGCATGATCTTCCCTAATTATTATCAGAATTCATGCCGTGCGATTGTTGTATATACTGGCGTAATATATAGTCGCGTAATCTGTTATCTTTCAAGTTTCAACCATTCTAAATATTTTAGTAATTTTTTTCCTTTTAATCTAAATTTGCATAGCACTCCTACTTCTCAAGAAAATAAATTTGAACTCATACTCTGTACTTCATATGACCAAAGATTAAAATTAGTGCATAAGTTATACTCGTGCTCCTTACCGTTTTTGTTTTAATTATGCACACAAGTTTGTTAATGATTATTTGGTCTCACAAAATTATAACATGTACTTAAGAGCAATTATATTTGTATTACTCCGTTACATATTACAATAATATGCAATTTTAAGGTACTCCGTATTATTTTTAAGATATAAAAAATTCAAAAGTTGTACACAATAAGCAGCTGAGGTAGTACATAACGTCATAACGACAAAGACAAATACAGGGAATATAACTATATAAGTGAGGCATCAATAGGAATAGTAACCAGCTGATTGAGACTTATGGTTAAAAATCTAGTAGTCACTATCAAAAAGGTTGAAAACCTGACCTAAATGAGTGAGATGGTTCCATCTTGACTCAAGCTGATTGAGACTTCCTCCGATAACTGGTCTTATTTCGTGAACCTGGTGGGAACGCCATCAATTCAATTTTGAATTCTAAACGAACGAGTAGAATCTTGAAACTCGTCGTTTTATACGCATTGGTGGAATGGTGGGCCTAAAGTAGATTGTGTTTTTGGGCTTAGCAGCCCGCCACTTAAATATAATCCCATTATTTACTTTAGTTAATTAATCTCATTTTATGAATGTGGGACCAATTTAATATGGCTGCTCTTATTTAGTCGCTATTGGTGATTTGCAATTTAACTACTCACTTATATTTTACAATGTAAATTACTTCATGTGCCAAATGTTAGAATAATTCTAGATATAATTGCTTTATAATATTTTTATGAAGTAATTCTACTGTATTTAGTTGCATGTCTGCCTTTTTACTTTATTAAAGTGCTGAAAAAAGTTTAAGCAGATAATCTAGGATTAATTGTTTGAGCACTAATGATTGGATTAATTTGTTTTTCAGTAAACTAGAGTTCTTGATTGGATTTTCATAAGGTCGTTTTCAATTGATGTCAATTTTGTAAGGCTATTACTATTAGTTTGCTTTAATTTGGACATGTTTATAACAAAGTGCTGCACAATATACAAAATCTATCTTTGTGCTCGATCTTTATATTCTTGGATTCTTTGGGATATTTTAATGATTTGATTCAGATTGGAAGTATTTGAGAAAGTCATCCTCTCTTTAGAGTTTGTTAATTTTGCCGCCTTATTAAGTTTTATGATTTATGACTTCGTTGTGGAGCAAAATATAGAATGGAATAATCATCATGAAATAGGGCATGCATGGATGAGTGTCATATCTCATTACAATTATTGTAGTTCTTCTAGAGGAGAGTTTTAT